CCGAGAGGTCCGGCAGCTAGCGCCGATTGGACGGGCGCTAGGAGACAGTGGCTTGCCATTGGGCCAACAGAATGTCAGTCAGGGCCGAGGACCGAGGGCCGGCACCTGCCCGAATCGCTGCGGCGCGGGCCAGACGCATGGGCATCTCCTCCCGGCCGATTCCGGGGACGTCCTCCAACCGTCGGGCCCCTAGCGGAGACTGGCCCAGCTGGTGCCCCTCCCAGCGTGGACTCCTTCTCCACCCCAGGCCGCAGGTGTCCTTGTCCAGCGCCTGCCTTTCGCTGGGTGCGCCTTCCTGTCGACATGGAATTGTGTCCCTCACATAACCCGCCAGGGAGCGCTCTGCTGCTATCCCATGTCATAGTTGGGAAATTAAGCCTCCTAGATGTTCTCACTTGCTTTAAGTGACCGGGGCTTGAATGCAGTCATCTGACTCCGGGACCTGGGGCTCCCTCGCCCTTACCGCCCCTGGGTATCCGCAGCAGGGGTGGAGGTGACGGCTGCAGGGTTTCCGAGGACAGGAAGGGACCCATTGGTAAACCAGGGATTTACTTTCCCCCATCACGCCTGAATGTGTAGACCCCTGGGCTCTCCCCACCCTGTAGGACTCTCCCTGTAGGCTGCCCTTCCTCACCACCTGGCACCGCCACGGCTTCCACCATGCTGGCATCCCATTTCCTCCACCCTATTTTGAGTCTTAAAGGAACACGGTGGGGCTTCAACCACGACTGTTGAGATTTGTGCAGGTTGCATTTCCTTGTCAGACAGAGAGCACCTTTGGTGCCACGGGGCACATGTGGGACCATAACCCTCGGCCAGCTCTACTTAACCTTGTGGTGTAGGGAAGCCAGCAGAGATGCTGCCCAGTGGTGCCTGTCTGTGGGGGAGGTCCTGAGATGGGCCCTTGGCCAGTGACCCCAGCTCATGTTTGGTCCCAAGCCTTTCCTGTGGCCCTGGGTGCACCTGAAGATGACCAGTCCCTCTGTGGGCCCCCTTCCCCAAAGCCACCAGGGAGCCACACTGTTTTTGACAGTGCCAATGGGTGGGTGGATGGGGGTTGTTGGGCAGGGGGAGATCAGACACTCCTGTCTTATCCACCCATGTTGGAATTCCATTGTGTTTGTCCAGTCCAATCATTGCTTGGTCAGAACAAAGAAAATGAAGTGGCCTGGGGCAAGAGTGTAGCACTGGCACCACCACTGGGTCCACCTGTGCCCTGGCAGCATGGCCAATTAATCCCAGCTGTCTTTCAGAGCCAGGCAGCTACTACCAATCAACTGAAGCTGGCACTTAAGGAGAAAGCCATTTGGTATCCTGGCATAGGGATGTTGCTTGCTGCTCTGGGAGAGCAGAATGAAGTATCCCTCCCTGGAACACAGGGGTTCCCACAAGCCAGGAAGCTCTTGTTCTTTGAAGCAACACCAGGGGTGACATGGATCATGTTCTGTGTGGCTGGTGATTCTGTTTCTTCCATTTAGGAGATGTAATAAGTCCAATTGTCCCCATGCATCTCTCCAAGGGTATTGGACCTGGTCCTCCTAGAGCCTCTCATGGTCCTGCACCATCCCCTCCCCACACTTGCTGACAGTGGCAAGAGGGGCTGGACAAACCTCTGCTGAAAGGGAGCAAAAGGGAAAACCATACATCACAATCAGCCCTTCATTGCCATTCCACCACCCACGAGGTTCCAGAAACCTCTCTGTCATCGAGTGGGATCTTCAGCTTCAGACAGAGGATCTGGGTGGGCAGCACCAGTCAAACAGAACTCAGGGTCACTGCCCAGCAGTCGGCCCATCAGGCTGCAGGCAGGCATCAGAAAAAGAGCAGGGGAGACCACAGGGCCCCATAGCCCACTGTCCTCTCTCATCCTCTCCACCCAGCTGCCAACCAGCTCTGTAGGGACAGCTGTGGTGCACTCAGAGCAAGCCACAGGGAGAAAAAGGTTTCAGCTGGATATCAGGGAGAATTTCCTAACAGTTGCAGGTGTTTGGAAACCAAAAGAGTGGCCTCAGGCCTTCCTGTCTGAGGACACATGCAATTAGAAGTGGAATGGCAGTGAGGTTCTTGAAGATCCAAGATCCCAGGTTTCAGGTACCCACCCCAGACCCATTCTGTCTGTTCTTGCCTGCTCCCTGGAGCCATATGTCATCCAGGCTGGAATGAGTCATGGTGAGAGAACATCAGAGTGTCTGGTCCTGCTTAGGCTAGCTGGAAAGAGTACAACTAACTGGGGATGGGACTAGCTCAGGGCCACAGAGACAGGGGGCTGTGGCCTCAACCAGTGACAGGGTGTGAATCATCATCTGACATGTTACTGACTCCCTCTTTGTGGGCAAAGGGAAAGCTTGGTCCATCCATGCTCCACTGTGAGGTATGTGGCCTAGTGCTTTGGGGCAGACTACTCCGCAGCTCCTTCCCCCTACCTCAGAACACAGTCATCACCCCAAACCACAGATCCTGCTTGGCCACCACTATTGCCTTTTGGCCCTTTGAACCACATGGTCTGGTTACTCAAAGGGAAATCACTGGCACTAGCCCAACACAATTCTGTTGTCAGATGGTGTCTGACTGGGTCTGCCACCTGCTGGAGTCCCTGTGTGGAGTCCTTGGTTTCCTCAAACACAGATGACATGGCAAAAGAGTAGGGCAGAATGGGCCTGCACATGGTCCAAGTTAGACTTTCGCCTTGCTGATCACTAGCCAGGCCCTGAGTACATTTTCTGCAGCGTGTCAGAGATGAGGTTAGGATCGGGGTGCCCAGGTACTTAACGCAGGGCTGTGCAGCTAATCTAGCCACTACCACTTGCCACTTCAGCCACAGTTTTTTACTTCAACTGAGTGACTTCACTGCTCCAAGGCCCAATACTCACATCTATAAAGCAGGGTGAATAACAACTTAGGACCCATATATTGGTTTAGAGTGCTTAGCACACGACATCCTTAATGTCATCCTTGTTATAGTTTTCTGAGAGCTCACTTTGGGGCAGGACCTGTGAAAGGCCCCAACCAGCCACAAGGAACTCGCCCCCTCCAAAGGCTAAGCCTAGGCGTGGCCCCCACCTAAAATGGCGCTCCCGCCTAAGAAGGTGCCCGGACAAACTAACATGGTGGCTCGGACAAGGCCTTCCGGGTTCTTCTTCCACAACAAAGCCCACCGTTCCCGCGCCTGCGAAAGCCCCTGCCAATCCCAAAAATACCTCACCTACCGACCAATAGGTAATCGACAGGTTGCTTTAAATTTCTATAAAACCTGCCACACCCCTGCCTCCATGCTGCAATCTGATTCTCAGGTTCTGTAGCCACTGCGCTCACCCCCATTAAATCTCTTGGCCTTAAAGGGTGTTGAGTCTCACTGAGCGCCACCATCTTTCAACCTGAGCCTTGAATTCTCTCCAACTTTCCCTCACACAGATCCAGGCGCAGTCCAGAGGCCAGTGGTGGAAGGGGACCCAGTAAATGCCTCTGTCCTGTTGGGAGGGTCCTAGTAAGTGCCCACATGTTCATCTAGCACTGTTCAAGCTGGACCAGCCCCTCATCCTTGGGGCCTAGATCCAGATGTGGACTCAAAGGCTTAGGTGACTGGGGATGATGGGTAGGGTGTAGGGCTGGAATGCCTGGTCCAAGGTCTCCCACTCTATCCTTGGGAGTGGCAGGGACATGAAGGGATGAGGGGAGACCTGGGGGCCGTAAAGTGAATGAGGGATATCCAGGACAGAGGTTGGCCAGATCCAGAGGTCGGGGTTGGGTGGACAGGATGGGGAGACCAGGACCCAGCCTGAGGGGCGGGTCTAGAAGTGGATTTCTGTAGCTCTTTCGGGGAGGGCCTCAGTGTGGGAGGTGACATGGTGTCGTGGGCTTACGACAGGGGAGGCCGCGACCTCCCAGATCGCCCGCAAGGGCCGGCAGCCAAGGAGACGCCAGTGCAGCCTGGAGGTTTG